GGTCGTCCTTCTGCTTAAGACACACGTAATCCTTCAATGCTTTAATGGTATCAGAATCGTCATCAACAACAACCGATAATGGTAAGGCCGGTAAGTCGTCACTTGATTTATTGTCGTCCACACAGGAAAGACGGCCACGAGCACAGCTGACTGCCTCTATCAACAGTGGGTCGTCTTGGGGGAGGCACTTCAATGTCAGACCCCTCGAATAATAATCACTGGGGTTTCTCTTACCAGGTAGATGGAATACCTTCCCACCACGCGGAACCAAGAGCTGGGAGATCTTGAACAGAGTCCGCAACTCCCATGCAGCAGGCGCAGATGATTTCCAGCCAGATCGAAAGACATCGTAGTCCTTCGACTGAGAGAAAAGCTTGAAGGCTTTGACCAACCGGTGCCACCGGTTGGTCAAAGCCACCGGTCCGGTGGTAGTTGGCCTCGTTATCGGTGTACAGTTCCGGTGTAGGCACAGACAAGTTAACAGACTCCATCGCGCGAGTGGTTTCAGAATACAAACAAGCCACTTCTAAGCACGATGTTAGCTCTTTACGAACTATAGACCATGGCAGCTTAACTGCCTGAATTAAATGTGCGCTACAGCGGACTAGATTAAAATCGGAATCACATATAATGGTACCGATGCCAAACCCCGAGGCATCACAAAATAAGTAGAATGTGGAATCCGCAGCCAGCTTTAGTACTCGAGGGATAGGTAGAGAATTGTCGAAGTCCATCATAGTAGCCTGTAGTGTCTTGAAGGCTTCAACACCAATGAACTCGTCTAAATCAGACACCGGATCTTTCTCCAGTTCACGCCTCAAGATAAGACGCATACGGAGTAGCAAATTACTTTGGAATCCCAGCGGATCGTAACACTGAGCAATTAAGCTCATAACGTCTCTGCGTGTGAGAAGGACCTTGTCCTCGGATAGGGCCAAGACACAAGGTGGGAAGTTAGGGCCTTCACAATCGGAAAGTGTGTCGCTAGGGTTCCATCTCAAGCCGAGTACCTTACAAGGATGCTCGGTGGGGACTCCAATACGACACTTCTTAGGCTGACAACGGAAGCCGTATTTACGGCACACAGAGAGAAGAATTGTAACAGCCTCTAACAGCAACTTCGGACATGAACAAGTAACGATCAAGTCATCCATGTAACCAGAATAAACAACGAAGGCCTTACTTCCGAACTTAGCAAAGAAAGTAGCTTGAGCTCTCGACAGATGAGATACAGCATGCTGCAAGCTGCAGCGCTGTGAGGACTCCCCA